GAGAGTGTGTGTGTGTGTGTGTGTGTGTGTGTGTGTGTGTGTGTGTGTGTGTGAGAGTGTGTGTGTGTGTAATGAGAGAGATGCAGCTCGTCTCGTCTCTAATTTTCTCTTGCTCAGCATCTAGAGCGGCTTTAACGGAACAGCCGCTGAGATCTTCATTCTCTCTTTCTCCGGATCAGATGTTTTCTTCCATGTATTTCAGGAATAGCGTGCGTCTCACCTGCTCTCTGGATGGAGTCGGTGTGGATCCGCTCCGGAGTGTCATATTTAGTGTGATAGATGAACCCGTTCTCTATAAACGCCAGATCAATCCCTGCACAACGAGACCCAGAGGACTAACACTTCACACACTGACATAAATGGTTCAAAGGACAATTAATATTCAGTAATAGTCAGAAATAGTAATTGCATAATAATAATAATTATTATTACTATTATTAAATTATATTTATAAAAATATTATTTAAAATGTAATGTTTTATATTTATTATTTACATATGATTTGACTTAAAAGCATCACCAGTGCAGATGAATCTGTGAATCTCGTACCAGGAATTTTGCCGAAGTCCCTGTAGATGCGGAAGTCTGTATCTGAGGGAATGACGCCGCTCTGGAAAACCTCCTGACCGACCACTGATGCAAACGGATGGACAGCGGCTCGGACGTACGCCTGGACCAGCCACGGGTTCTCCGGACCTGAGACACAATCATTCACTCACACTCACATCTAGACACTTAGCAGAATGTTCATGCTGCTCTTTTCCACATAATGAAAGTCAATGTAAACAGAAACGTGAACAATAGGATAAACACATCCGGGTTTAGATCAGCAGCTTTCGACATTTTTGACCGAGGTCCCACGCAAGATAATATATTTCCGTATTATATTATATATTTCCAGTTCATTGGCTGTAACAACAGATTAATTTACAGAAATCAGGAGTGTCCATAGATTAAAATAAGTAACTCAAATAATTATATTTAAAGTTTCAGAACTCCAGAAGTTTTAGGAGATTAATATTTTCCAAGGTTCCTGCTCGCTTTATCCAATGAATTTGTATGACTTTTCCAGCCATTCCTGATTTACTGGATAAGGATAAAAGATTCTGATTTTTTAAAAGATTTTTTTTAATTGCATTTTTTTTTTTTACCCCAAAAATATTCAGAGCTTGCCATAACTAGAAAAATGAATATTCATTATGAAAAAAAAAAAACACATTGAGTTTTAAGATTTTATTGATTGCATGGCTAGAAATCTCATTTTTAAAACGAAGATTATTCATATACCCAGGTTTTCCGGGACAGTGTGAATCCTGGCTATTCAAAGACAAAAATACAGTTTCTGAGAGGATGAACTTTAGATGACTGGGAAAAAATGTCCCAATTAACTTCACATTATGTTCATTTTTAGTTGTTTCAGTTGATTTTAATTCTTGTCTTTTTTTTTTTTTTTCAAATCACTGAAGTCATTTTGAGGTTTAAAGATGACTTAATATGGCTTGAGAAAGTGGTTGAGAACTGCTGGTGGGTGAGTAAATGATGACAGGAGACGGTGAACAGGCCCTTTAATCCTGGGACTTATTCTGCCTAGCAACAGTGAAGATGTGCTGCAGGTGTTGAGCTCCTGCCGCCTCCAGGTTCACAAACGCTCGCACCTGCTGAGCCCAGGGATGCTGGGTAATGAAGCCGTGACTGGCCTGAGAGAGACATACGGAATCAGAAACTCAATGTTTATATGCATCTGTGTGTGACACTGAACCAGGGATATTACAGTTAACTAAAACTATAAAGAAAGAACTTTCATTACTTTAAATAAAACATCAACTAAAATAACATTTTTATTTTAGCTAGTTGCCAAGCCAACATTTCGAATTTTCATTTAGGTTTAACCTGATGCACTAAAATAACTAAAACTAAGATAAAATTAATAAAAGCTATATAGACATATTTTAAATAGTAATAATAATAAATTGTGCAAAAAAACTAAAACTTTTAACTAAAATCAAAATAAAACAGAAAATATAAAAAAATTAAAATTTATTAAAAATTCGATTAAAAACTGTAACAATATCTCAACAACAGTAAAATAACACTGTTCAACATGCAAATATCAGTCCGGCATTACTCATGCAGCAAACACACAGTAAGAATGGCAGTCTGACCCTCACTGAGGTCAGAGGTCAGCTGTTGCCGTGACCTCTCACCTGCAGGATGTTCTCCTCGGCTCCGTTAAACAGGAAGATGATGCCGTGTTTGAGCGGCGTGGAGAGATTCGCCAGAGAATGTAAAACCTCCAACATCACCGAGCAGCTGACGGCGTCATCGCTGGCTCCTGAAACACACACACACACACAGACACAGACACACAAACACACGCACACACGCAGACACACACACACAGACACACAGACACA